TGTCCTTCTGCAGAAATCCTTATCCCTTTTAAGTGATTTGTCCTAAGTCTGGTTATGATAGTCGATATGGCTCGACGGATTCGATATTGGCTGCGTATGAAGCCCATTTTCTCCTGAATGGTGAAATATTGCACGGAACTTGTGCTTTTATGATCATTTGATTAGGAAGACGAAAAATCATTGAAAAAAAAAAAAAAAAAAAAAAAAGCTACATGCCATTGTTGCTGATATAATAAGAGAGAATTCGTTTATGTTTTTGTTTTTAACCGACATTTTTTATGTGGGTTCTACATCGCATCAGACTGAAAAATGTATGACTATGAATCGTGTTTTTTGTATAGTAATTAGAAAAGAATTACAGGGGTACTGATCTCTCTGTCTAGTCAGAAGACATCAAAATTGATACTAGGTTATAAAAAAATTTTAAATTCGGACTTAATTTCTTTGAGCATTAAGCTTTGAACTTGTAAAATCTTTTAGCCTATGGCTCTGGTGATACCTCTGCTTAAGAGGTGAGGACCAGATACTCCATCTTCATGTTGTTAGACACTTACTCTCAATCTAATTTAACTGGCATCGGGTACTTTCGCTAACATGGTTAAATGTAAATTATATATTTCTGTGAAATAACTTGGTTGCATTTATCGCAATGATTTTAAGTTTAGTATAAGAATAGGATTTCGGATTTTAGTCAAGTAGAGTGATTTTTGAAGAAATTTCGTGCATTTGTAGGATAATTTTCTGCATGCGCTGTGAAGCTCAAACTAAATAAATTTTCTCACAGTAAATGGGCCCACCAGCGGCCGAGCGGTAAAGTCGCTGAACATTGGTAGTTCGGTCCGAGGTTCGAATCCCGCGAACGGGTGGCTGCATGGGCGTTTTCGTGGTTTTCCCATGTGTAAGTGTATACGAGCCAGTTTCCCTTAGAAAGTCCTCCACGAAAAGCATCCCTCCTGTTAGGCAGATAGCCCTCGAGCTTTGCCATAATCACACACACACACACACAACACAAAATTAAATTGTAAATGTTTCATGAAGTATGTTTGATAAGTTTTAAACGTAAAGGTTTCTCTTAAATCGTGAATTTATATGTGCATCTCTTATGAATCGTCAGTTGATACAACGTAATAAGATGCAGACAAAATTTTACTATTCCAAGGATGTTTGCCTGAACTAGAAAAAATAAAAAGATTACCATATCAACACCAAATATAATTTTATTCACCAACTCAGTAGTCTAAACCTCATCTTCTGTTATTTTAACAAACTGGATTCCAGAGATAAAAACTGCTGCCAAAAACTATAATGCAATAAAAGTAAACATTTATAATTGTTAAAATATTTGTGAGTTACAGTCAAACTAATTATTTACATTTTATGCCGTCACAAGCTCATACACATTAAACTCCTTACAATCTTCGAATATGTGACTGTTGCAAGAATTGGAATATTTTATTTATTTTAAAAGCAATTACTTCCAACTTTTTACAGCTGACTACAAAATATAGTTGCTTTAGGATCCAGTAACCAGAAAGCTTGTGTTACCACAAATACTTTTGTAATTTAATCCGCTTTGGGACGAAATGTTTCGTCATGTTTCCACCTTGCGCGCATAATAATTTTAAAATGGTTAATGGTATATACTTTAAATTTGTTGGAATTTTTTATATGAATACTATGTTTGTTCCAACTCAACGAAAAATCTGATGGATATATTAATATTAAAACATTGTTTGCATGAAAACATTACAGATATTTTTAATAAAATACATTTTATAAACTCAACTCCAAATAAAATAAAATTGATTATGAAATTCTTAGGATTTTTTGGTTCACAAAAGTTTCCAAATGTTATAAAAGCTACATATTAAATATGGAATTAAAGTATGCAATAGAACGTTTTAAACTGCGCGCAAGTTGGAAACATAATGATAAATTTTGTCACGAAGCGGATTAAATTATTAAAATATTCGTGGCAATAAAAACTTTCTGATTACTATTTCAGAAAGCAGCTATATTGTGTAGTCAGCTGTGAAAAGTTGGAAGTAATTTCTTTTAAAATAAATAAGTTATCTCAATTCTTGCAACAATCACATATTCAAAGATTTTATGAGTTTTAAGGTGTATGAGTCCCCTTAAATACAAAAATAGATTCTTGTATATTAATAAAATCTGAATTCTTGACGTGTGTATGAAATGTTTAAATGTAAGCTAGTAAGTTAAAGTAAAATAAGTTAAAGCTATCGGTATGGACGAACGTAATTAAAGCCACAATTAAATTTAATTGAACTATTCTTCATAGCACATTAATAATAGTTTTGAGTTTAAAGTGTTATTGAGCAATTTATTAACATTTAGGATTTCGGTCAGGTAGTAGTGTTGAAATACTTGTACGCTTTTGCGTTCAGTACATTTTCCTGGAAGGTAGGAATAAATGCTAGAAAGAATGGAAGATTAAAAATTCTCCTTGTAAAGCTAAAATAGAAAGGAATATGTAATGTTTTGTGCTGGAACAATGCAGGTGACTGGAAGAAGGCATATTTTAGCACAAAACATCACATATTCAATTCCCTTGTGTTTTGGTTCTTTACTATCACTTGTTATTTCCGTTTTCCCACCAGGATGCAAATTAGTTCGCGAATAGTGAGGTTTTCTAAATACTGTACTGTCTCTCGAGGTCACGCTACTAGGCTGCTAGATCAAGTAAGATCTGTAGTCATAATCTCGCCGATACGGTAATCCATGCTGGCTGGTACTCCATTAAGTTGAGCCAACTTAGCATTAAATTGATCTGATAGCATTCAGTTACCAGCTTATTTAATTTAAATTTTACATTTACTTACTTTAAGTTATCTCGCCATAAGTGGTTGGCTGATTTTTAAACACCGGTTGTATCAAATAAAACGGTTTTTTCTCAAGGCTCAGGTGTAATTTTAAACTTCGCGAGGTTCTCTTCTGCTATCGGGACCAGATTTAGAAATGTACGTATGTTATACGTGTATATGTGGATATATGTGTTCATGTATGCATGTACGTACGTACGTATGTGTGTGTGTATACACATACACATGTGCATAAATATACACATGTGTGTGTATATATGTTACGGTGAAACACCGAAATGTGGAGAATGTCGACTTTCACCGGTGAATGTCAACATTCACATAGTCGCTTGGTGTATGTCCGAAATATTTTCCAAATACTCTTATTTCTGACTTACACCGGTCAATGTCGACATTCACCATGTACTAATAGTGAATGTTGAACACATAAGAATATTACATTTTCTTCTCCGTAATTCGGTGGCGAAAAAACGCACTTGAGACTTCAAATAAGAACTTAAGCACATAAGAACTTAAAACACACTGTGCATTCAAAATGAGAAAGGAAAATAATAGAAGTTAAAAACTTACTAAATTACGTGATTCAAATCTTATTTATTGCAATAACTTAAACTATTATGCCACTTTGAATTGCACAAGAGGCCCTTGCTTTTACAACTGCATTTATTTGTGGAACACTTCCTTTTGCAATGACAGCGTGTACATATACTCCTCTCTTTCGACCTACACCAGAGCATATCTGTGATTGTCGACATACACCGGTGAGGGTCCGAATGTACAAGAATGTAATGCAATATTCGATCCTTCACCGACGTATTTGGTGAATGTTGAAATTCTCCGGTGAAAGTCGACATTCTCCAGTTTCGGTCTTTCAAGGTAACATATACACATACACATGTGCATAAATATACACATTTTTGAAGCCGGTCCCGATAACAGAAACGATAATTCGCTTAACGTGTACAAGAGTTTGAACTCAATTAAATAGCTGCAAAATATGCGTAAGAGCATTATCAGAGTATGCTTCTTGCTGTCAGTCGCTATTTAAATTTGCTTTCTGGTAAAGGTAAATCAAAAGTAGTGTCTTAAAGTAGAAAGGAATTAACACAAAAAAACTTGTTTATAATCTTGCATTTAAATTGTATTTGTCATGGTAATCAGGCGTATTTTACTTCTGCTCACTCCAAAACTCTCATAATAATTTTTTAGAATCCAAGGCAACGCTGCCACATTATCATCGGATTTCTGAGAAACATATTTTTTTCTTAGTTAATTTAGTTTATTCCTCATCGATTTTTATACGGTATGTCTGGTAGAAAACGCTTCCTAATGAAGTTCTTCTTCGGTTTTCTTACTTCCTTCCGAATGCTTTCGTGGTGTAGTAACTGGAAGCACACTCGACGCATATGCGGGAGGTCTGGAGTTCGAATCCCGTCGAAGCCATTCGATATAACCTAGTGACTAAAGAGCATTTTAATGCCTTCTTGTTGGACGTTTCAATGATCAGCATGCACATTTATGTAACTAGTTTAAAGGTTATAGAGACATTAGGTATTTTTGATATGGGAGACTTAAAAAATGAGCAATGCCCTCGCCGGAACTCGAACCACGGACCTCTCGAATACGCGCCGAGTGTGCTGACTGCTACAACACGAAGACATGCTAAGAAGGCGCGAGAAGTACCTCATACCCTTACAGAGCTACAATCTGTTATTTGATTCAGAAACTCCCCAGTTTATAGTTCGACCGCCTCATCCGCGACCATGAGCGCAAACACGCATGCGCCATTCGGACCGAGTTATTTTGAAAATAGGGTGGAAGGATGGGGACTTTCCTTTGAGCATATAAATCCTCTCTTTCCGGAGGTGTTCACGTCACCTTTTACATCGCAACAAGTAATAACGCCCCTTTTGGACGAGTCTATGTGTTTTGGCAGAATGCCAGCCAAGGTTGCGTTTGAGACGGTCGAACTATACCTGTGCATAAAGTTCAGAAGCTATGATAAGTTTAATCTTAGCTTGCATTTAATTAACCAGTCACATTTCAGTTGCTGATGATAAAATTCTGCTATTCTGATTAAAATTAAATTAAGATTCATGATATGAATTAAGATTCCTTCCCGCTTAATCCAATTAAAATATAATATCCTTCCCATAGGGTTACGATACTCCTCTTGGCGAAAGAGGGACGCAGCTCAGTGGAGGTCAGAAGCAGAGAGTTGCTATTGCTCGAGCACTTCTTCGAAATCCGAAAATCCTTCTCCTGGATGAAGCGACATCAGCTCTTGACGCAGAAAGTGAAAAGGTAATGAATTCTCATTTGGGGTTTCTCTTAAGGTAATGTTTCTCTTCTCCTTTTGCGTAAAATTTAGGTTTTTCAAATTCCAAGACATTCATTTATGTCTTCTTGTTTATATAATGTAATTCACTTTCGTAATTAAAGTTATTCTAGACTGTTTTTTTACATTTTTGGCTAACGATCATAGGTATTAAACATCGTTTACTATTTTTACTTCCTTGTACGAAGTAAAAAAGCAAGTAAGAAAATTTTCTGGAATCATATTTCAACGAAAATATCTATTTTGACCGCTATCGAATGCAATTTAACGATGTATTTGCGTGATATCTGTACGTAAGGACAGAATAAAAGACTCTTTTCCCCCCAAAAAAATTATAAAACTGATTTAAAATGAATTCTGAAGAGAATTATGCGTGGCGTCTGTAAGTACGTATCTCGCATAACTCAAAATATAGGATTGCTATAACATGTAAATGTGCACCTCGTATTTTGGTTGCAATCGACCGCACCAAACGCATATAAATATATGTATATATATCCACTTTGTTAATCGGCTCAGCGATCTCTAGTTTTTTTACTGTTATACGTTTGTAAGTTGCGCATTTTTTTTCTTTAAAAATTACTGGATTATGTTGTTTTATCTTCGGATAAGGTTTTTATGCCTTTAGTAAATCTGCATGCAATATTTGTGGAGTTATCAACAATTTAAAAGTTGTTTACGAGCGGCTAAGCCTAATGAATTTTGCGATGGTGGACATGTTTGTTTACATTTCAAACTTGGCAGAATAGCTGATTTGTTGCCAATCTAGAGAAACTAAGCGTCGCAACAACAAAGATAACGCCTTCTTTTATTATTGCGAATTAAATCATGTTTAATGCATTTTAGAATTTGAGGAAATAAGTGTTTAAGATTTACTTCGTAATTTTTAATATAGATATTTTGAGTTTTTATGTATTTTTGCCTTGTCGGGAAGTGAGAACTGAATTAATTGAATGAGAAATACTGAATCATCTGTGAAAAACTCTTTCTTTTTTTTATATGTTTAATTTCTTTTATACATAATTTTAGATTTATTATACTATTTGAATGGAACATGTGGCAACGATTAGATAATCATTCAAATGATATAAATTGATATGCATTCTGATTTATAATATGAACGAAATGTAACGCTATTAAGTGAAGCTTAAACAGATATAGTGAATTTTAAAGAGTGCATTTATTCTGTTGTGATTTATGCGCTATCGACGAAGTAGATTTAATTCAATCCAATACGTTTAAATGAAATGCAAGAAAAAATGCGTATAATTTAATATTCCATGCAAGGAAATAATGTGGTGTACACATCAGATTTTTATTTATGGGAAACAGCAAAAATAAACTGTGGCTTTTGGAATCATTATCTGTATATTATGAGTTTGTCTTTTATTCGTCATTTTACTATTTAAAAACGTTCCTTCTCAGGTCAATAAAATTTAAGATATCACATTCACCTGAATTTTAAATCAGTGTATTATTAGAAAACTATATTGTAAATTTAACACGTGTTTTCATGTATTTTTAGATCGTTCAAGAGGCATTAGATAAAGCCAGAACTGGACGAACCTGTTTGATCATTGCTCATAGATTAACTACAATTCAAAACGCTGATACGATCATGGTTATCCATAAAGGACGGATAGTTGAGAAAGGTACTCACCAAGAACTTCTAAATCAACGCGGCCATTATTACAAGCTGCAAAACAGAGAAGTCGGCCCATTAAGACAAGAAGGATGAAATTAGTTCAATTTAAAAATTTTTGACTCGTGAAATCAAATACTTTTAGGCTACGCGGAGAAAACTTTTCTACAAAGCAAACGCAAGGAACAAACGAAGACGAAAAAATGAAAAGTATTAATTTATATCATATTGTATAAAATGATTGTAATATGTGAATGCATTAATATTTGAACTATTTACACATTTTTCTCTGTGATATTCTTTCACGTATGATATTTTTATTTGAAATAAAACGTTTTTATAAAATATATAAGTAATTTGGAAATTCTGAAATTTTTTAACATCTGTTGCTTTCATTGTTTTACGAAAGTTTCTTAGTAGAATAAATCTTGAGTTACGTGTTTTTTAAATTTAAAAATGAACGGAAGAGACTTAAATGTTTTAGAAAATGGAGCCAGAAAACATTGTGCTGTTTTATGTTTTTTATTTCTGTTGGAAAACAAAAAGTAGTAAGTAATTGTTTTGGCCGTTAAAGAGAAGTTTTTAAGCTGACACCAAGGAATCGTCGATATTTTTCTCTCGTTTTCTGTACTATAAATCGTTTAGCGGATTTAGAAGAACGGTTTGCAATAAAAATTATTCCTGAAGCTTTTAGAAGAATCATTTAGAGCACACGAATAAAAAGGGCGATCGGCAAGAAGGAAATTTTTCATCAAAAAGAAAATAAGTGAAACTACGCCTGGCCTTCGCAAAATCTACAGTAAGTAAAGTTTTTTTGTTCTACAGACGAATAAATAGCTGGGAAAATCAGAATTAAGAACTGAATTCGAAAAACCTACTGCCTAATGTCACGCATAGGGATACAGATGAAGATGTTTCTTTGTCTTTAGAATACGAAAATAGCGTTTGTCTAAAATAATATGGATTGGTATAAATATATAAATATTCTTAATGAAAATCTGGAAACGTCTGCGAAAAACCCTGGAATGCAAAATACATTCGAGTTTTATCAGAATAACTGTCTGTATGTTGATAAGATTGTATGTTTAAAGATATATTGTATTATACAATCTTAAACATACAGCCCTACTGTCCTTAACATACAGCCCTTGTGGTTATTTTACAACTATGCTGAAATTAAAAAACCTTTTCCATATTCGGAACTTAATTTCTATAGAACATACATGGAATTGATTGAAGAAAAGAACAAGGAAACATGATACTTTTTCAAAAGCTTTGCCAAAAGCAATTTTCGTGTAGGAATGTAGCAAATTTTAACACATAAAAAAAATTATTTGAATCTATGCTAAAGCGTATGAAAAGTGTAATCTTGGTTATGAAATATAAACTGTGTTAAAGCTTCAAGAATCGGTCTAATATTCATAAATCGGTACTTACGTATTATCGCAACCAGGTTGGCGCGATTTGTAAGTTTGAGTAAAAAAAGTATAAATAGAAAGAAAATGTACATTTATTAATTACAGATAATTTTAAACAGTTTTTTAATTATTTTGTTTTAAAATATAAAATAGCAATTAAACCCTTCCCGTTTCGAATTTGAAAATGCAGAATTATTTTTTTCGGCGGCGGAAATCTTTGGCTATTGCTTTTAGCACTGATTGAAAACCGTCTTCGCCATTAACAGCTTGAGCTTGGCGCCATATAAATTCGATAAGGTATGAGTCAAGATGATTTTTACAAGTACGTTCGTTCGGTATAATTCCATATCCCTGCAACAATTCAACAGCATCTTTTTCACTCGCAGGCAGATCTCAAATACCCATAGTTAAAGTATTTCAAGGCATTCAATCTAACCAGTAAAAAAAATAATTTCTTTACGAAAAACTACGTATAACACGTAGGGTTGCCGTAAGAAGGATCGCCAAATTTGGCGATTTATGCGAATTTTGGCCTGGTTGCGTTAATACGTAAGTACCCATAAATCTGTAAGACTAGTTTTTTTCGAAGGTTTAAATATAGAACCAGCTGCAGTAGTGCAAGTGACGAAAGAGAAGCTGTCAATAAAAAAGGGGTAGCATCTATTGACAAAAAATGAAAACAACTAGGAAATAATTTCCTTAAAAGCTGAGGGTAAAGACGGATTGAAACTGGGATGGCTAACTATAACTGAAAGATTTTTATAAATGTGAAATGCTTAAATTTCGGGCTATAGAACATATGTCTCATATGTTCTGTAGCTCGAAATTTTACGGGATTCTCAGTTTGATCAGTGTAAATTGATTACATTGGCAGCGAATCCTGTACACAGGGTGTCCCGTAAATAGCATCCAAACTCTGCACAGCCATATTCCTCGTGCCGATTACATAAAAAATGCGCGAAGAACTGTACCTGTGCGGTCCATAGTTTTCGACATAATTGCAAAAGAAAATTATGACGTCATATCGCCGATGGTTCTAGCGGGGTGAAGCTCTGGCGCATTTTATCTCTTCTGTACGTGATTGGCTGGATATGGAATACGCAGGCCGCTGGTTTGGATGTGGGGCTCCGGTTCTATGGCCACCGCGATCGCCAGATCTCACAGCGTTGGATTTTTTTCCTATGGGGACATCTTAAGCAATTGGTGTATCGAGACTTAGTGACTATAGAAACGGACTTGATCGCTTAGCTGCATGCTGCTTGAACTTCGGTAGACAACGCGCTGCTGCGACGTGTGCACTCATCCATTCCAGGACGCGCTAAAGTCTGCCTCGATATTCACGGCGGGCACCTTGAACATCTGCCTTTATAAATACTGCTGCTGATGTGTCAAATAAAGCGTTTTTCATTGCACCGGTTATGATGTATTTTTCTTGTAAATTATGGATCGTACGGGTACAGTTCTTTGGACATTTTTTATGTACTCCCAAAGAGGAATCTGGTTGTGCAGAATTTGGACGCTATTTATGGGACACCCTGTATATTCTTGGAGTTCATATCCGGTAAGGGTCCTTAACCACTTGCGCTAAAAAGACGTGCCACGCACGTCGAGACGCTTTTGTCTCAAACCGCGAGCGACGTGAACACCACGTCGATAGGCATTTATCACAAAAATGAAAATAACGTGGTGCACACGTCGCCTAACAACGAGATTGTTTATGTTTAGGAACATGCACGAACTCGGTTAATACACAATAATTTAATATGTTCATTATAATGTAGATTTTTTGTGGCAACAGTTATGTTTTTTATATATTGCTTTGAGCTTGATAACTCACGGAATGTTATTCTTTTTGTAATGTTTAGAATGCTAAATAAATAAGTTCGTTGTTAATTAAAAAGGTTTTCTCTGCGAAATATATTACCATTCGTCCGAAGTTATTAAATAAGTCAAGAAATTGATTAATTTCAAACAGTTTATTTCTCGAGTTACAGCTCTGGATTGCACTCGCAGACGCGGAGCGGCGTAAATGAGACACTTTACCGCTTGTTTAATTGTAGCGCACGGCACCGCAACCGTGAAGTTTAATCGTAGCGCAAGTGGTTAAGTATGGAACTGCGAATTATACTGAAAGAAGAAAAAAACGAACGGAAAGTTGAATTTCTGTAAAAACGTGCAATTTTATAGCTAATCGTTGGAAAGAAAAGAATGACAACAGAGTTCTTATGATCTAAAACGAGAGAGTGCTTTTTGATGTCTTGAGTACTTTTTAACCGCTTGGCCAATAATGTTAGGCGGAAAGCCTTTGTCAGTAGTTATCGCGGAGGCCGGCAGTGTCTTACGCGAGCGTCTGTCCAGGGCCGGGCGGGGGCTTTCCATGAAATTTCCGAAGTATCAACGCATTGTTTAATAATGCTCTATAGAGTATTTAAACGGCTTATGCTTTATAGATATTTTGGTACTTACGTATTATCGCAACCAGGTTGGCGCGATTTGTAAGTTTGAGTAAAAAAAGTATGAATAGAAAGAAAATGTGCGCGATTTGTAAGTTTGAGTAAAAAAAGTATGAATAGAAAGAAAATGTACATTTATTAATTACAGATAATTTTTAATACAGTTTTTTATATTATTTTGTTTTAAAATATAAAATAGCAAATTAAACCCTTCCGGTTTCGAATTTGAATAAGTTGCAGAATTATTTTTCGGCGGAAATCTTTTGGCTATTGCTTTTAGCACTGATTTAGAAAAACCGTCTTCGCCATTAACAGCTTGAGCTTGGCGCCATATAAATTCGATAAGGTATGAGTCAAGATGATGATGACGGCTGTTCCTCTCTGTTTTTTGTTGCGCCATTTGGCTGAGCCCCACATGCGCTCTAATGTTGTGTGTGAACGCCCGTGTTGGGATCCACAAAGTTATATTTGTGATTAAAAGTTCCATGCAGAAATCCAGCATTTTCGAACTCACTTGTATTGTATCCTTTCCAGCAATCCGAATAAATGATGCTTCCTTCCTTGATATTTTCGCAAATTTTTACCATGAGGGTAACGGCGCTTCCTGTTAGGTACAGTAACCAAAAAGTCTCTTTCTTTTCTCGGCAAATTCCGCCGAAAACCCATTGCTGTGGTAGTACACGCCCAGTGTTATTTTTTCTTTTTACAAATAAACTTTCGTCTATTTTCACAATAAGTCCTTCGCCGCCTATTTGCTTTCTTTCTTTTTCATCCATTTCAAGGGCACATATCTCCCGCATGTAATTAATAATGCGCATGTAAACCCGCATGTAACGATAAACTACGTATAACACGTAGGGTTGCCGTAAGTAGAGTCGCCAAATTTGGCGATTTATGCGAATTTTGGCCTGGTTGCGTTAATACGCAAGTACCGATATTTTTATATATATGCTTTAATTATCTTATTTCTTGTTTAAATGCATATTTTACACATTTTATTTTCATTACTCACCATTTTATGACTTTTAACATTATACATCTGAAAACTAAACGTATTACTTAAAAATCTCTTTTCGTATGAAAAATTTGAAAACGGGGATCTACACACAGTCCTTGCACTCGTAATAACTCATTTACCGTTTTGGAGGATTTTTCCGGAAATGCGAACAAACGAAGCATCGTCGTCTCATTTTCTTATCACTCTCTTCTGAACAAAGTTTTGGAAAATGTGATAGTGATACTATGTAACGTAGTATCCTAGTTATACTACGTTACATAGTATGACTATCACTACTATCAGAATCTGTTTCAAAATCAATATCTGAAAAATTTTGCATCATTTCTACTATTTCATGCTCTGTTAAACATTTTCGACGCTTCGACATTGAAACGGTAAAACCAGAAAGAATTCACGTCTAACAAGATCTAATTATTTTCTAAATACTGAGCTGCAAACCGAAATACCCAACGCTTTAGCAAAAATTAAACTCCTCTACTTAAA